AGAAAGAGCTTGTTTTACCAAACTAAGCCCCTGCCCTCAGAGTAAATACTGGCTTAAAACTTATACTGGCTGAAGTCTGAGTGCTGGAGTTCTGATGATCTCTTGTTGGAATTAGTCTTGATTTGCAGTCATTTAACTTTTAGTTAATTAGTCTTGATTTGCAGTCATTTGCAGAATTGAACTTAATAACCAGTCTCTATGTTGACCTATTGCATTACCTACCTTGTGTATACGCTAAATTTTGTAGCAAACATCCTGGTGGAGCACAGTATGGAGTCTTACCATTTTCCTCCTGGCAGTATGCATCAAAACAGGGGAATGTATCTAGTGGAGTATATTACCATTGCTGGTCTTTGTGGCACACAAGCTTTCCCTTTGAAGGGGAAGTCCTACAGAGGACTTCCTGTAACCTTTCATTTTAGCTCTTACTACTTGAATTTTATGTGAATCTGTCTCAATCCTCTGTTCTTATCTATTTGACTAAGAGTCAGTTCAGAAAAGGACGTGTATTTATCTGTTCGCTGATACGCATTTCAAATTTGGAGGTTAAGCATGGGAGGATGTGAACTTGGTATCTCTCCCCTTTTTTCTAAAATGGACAGCTAAAAGACACCAGGTGAATTCAGCCTTGGAAATGCCCTCATTGACTCTGAAGGAAATCTAATTAACTCTCTCAGATGTAAGGACCTAAGTGATGATGGATGAGTCCTGGCCAGCATGATTGTGATGCTAACTGTGCTGCCTCAGGTAAAAAAAGTCAGACAGTTTGAATTTGGGCTAGTGTACAATGGTTACCCCCTGGGCTGGTGATTTATTTGGTTTTGGCAAGTCTTGCTTGAAGCCATGTATTGCACTCAATAAAGGACAGGTAAGAGTGACAGATGCTTTTGAGGCTTTTTCTTATACCAGTGCTGCCAGTTTGTGCTTGTTTCTCTTCAGGTATTCATATATTCTTGCATATACAAGGGCCAGCAGTAGTCCCATTAATTGTTTAGAAAAAGGAAGTTCCAGTGCATACTTTCTGGCTTTTTTCCACAGTTCTGTGGGGTTGTTTTTCTGTGTAACAGTTTTCCTGATTTTTCTTTTAAGTGCTTTATTAAGCACAGCTTCTGGGAGAGGGTACTAGCCTGACATCTAGAAAATCTGTTTATAAGTTCAGTTCAGCCTCTGCTGTTTGATGCTGGCCTCCTCATTTCACATTCTCTTTGCTTAAATTCCATCTTTTGTTGAATGAAAAAACTACTTCTTCCCCTTCTTGGTGAAAGATGCTCTCTAGGTATTATCATCATCACCTTTGGACCACTCTGAGGAGGACAGACAGTCTCTCAATATGTTTTTGTACTCCTACACCATCTGTTTTGCTGACGTGTTACAGATGAGATTTTGGAAGAGAGGGAAGTGTCTAAGATTTTAACTTCAAGTCTTAGATTTTGTTTACATTTTCTCCTTTCAGTAACTCACGGAAACCTATTTCTGTTCTGGCTTCATCCATCCTGAAACAACCCAATTACACCAGCTGAACAGATAATAGAGATAAAACAGACTGCAGAATTTTCCCAGGGCTTAAAAGCAGGTAGAAGGGCCATTTCTCACCTACCAGTGCCAGAAGCAGGAAGCTAGAAGTGAATCAAAGAACTCCTGAGATGCAGCAGAGGTACAAAGAAGTAAGTAGTTAACACTGACATGACCCTCTGAAGCCTGGAGGCCCAAATTTATATTCCCTTGTCTTCCTAGGAGATTACATGGCCGCAATGACCATGACAGCTCTTTTCGATAAGACTAAAGATGGAAAAGGTCTAGAAAATCACAACTAGTTAATTCCTTCTGCAGCACTGGTTGTCCCTCTGCAGAACACTCCTGGTAGCTTTATGTCTCGTTTCACCTCAGGCAGGGTGGTTTCTGGCATATTGACTCTTTAGGTTAGAGCAATATTCCCTCTCTAAACAAATACAGCAGTTTCTTGTTTGATCTTTTAGTATGTTCCCTTAGGCTGAATAGTCACATTATTTTTCCTGTGTCCAGGAGGCTACCACACTCCTCCTTGTTCTGCTGCTTAAAGAAAAGTAGATGTCACAATCATGAATTGCCTGCAGTGATTAGCACTTTTACACTACGGGAATTCTATGTTGATTTTATTAAAACAAAGCTGTATTCAACTGATTAAGATCTTCAGGAAGGCTTTTGACTTACCTTGGAGGTGAAATTGGCCCACTGAATGAAAAGTAGTACACTACTACTTTCTGTATTTGTCTAAGCTGATGCTTCACTGAATAATGTGAGTCATTATTTACGTGGTATATTAGAAATAATCATTGACTGGTGCTTGTGCTTAAGTCAGAAGGGAGATTAACATGCTTTGTGTCTTGAAATAATCTTTCTTCATCTCCAGACTGTGCCAGTTCTCTTGCTTAGTTGAAAACCAGGAGCTACACTGAAAGTTGTCAATTAATATTACATACTGTAACGGAACAGGCTGCTGCAGGGCTGCCCCACAAAACACATACACACACAAAACTTCCTGAGGAGAGAGTTGTCTGCTCCAAAAGCAAAGGAGCTGCAGTAAACTCACTGGCAGCTGAACATGCCATCTCTCTGGGGTGATGTGCTTGTGTTAGCGAATTTGCTGATATAAACTACAGGCTCTTTCTGTAGCACATTTCCCTGCTCTCTCTGTAGCACATTTCCCTAAAGATTGGAATGAGTCTATGTTGTGAAAGCAAGCTTCAAAGCATCTCTAGTGAGCACAGAAGACTTGGTAGTAAAGGTAAAAAGCCAGGGATGATGTAAGGGGGAAGGGAGCCAGGAAGAGAATGAGGCAAGAGAGAAAATACACAGAGAACTGTATTTGTGAGTAGGTGAGAAATTCCTTTGAGGGTACAAACTGACTTTATGGCCAAACACGTTTCAAAGGGCTGGTTGAATCAGTACCCCAGTGAGCACCAGCATGTCTGGGCTTGCTTATAATTTGCAGCAATCTCTCTTGTCCTTCCAGCCTCTTGTTTTCTTCTTTCCCTTTCATTTTCCCTGCTGATCTTTAGCATGTTCTCTGGAAGTAATGCTGCAACAGGGTCTCTAATATGACTGAAGAGCTACTGCAACTAAACTTGCTGAGAAATTATTTTTAATGAGCAAAAGTGTTGCACTGAAGCAGTGAATTCCTTCTCTAACACACAGAAAAAGATCCTTACAGTGAAAATCCTGCAGGAAAACCTCTTCAGATGAATTGCTAGTTAGAGAATAAAGCAGTTAGGTGAATAAAAGCCTGATTACATGTCTGGAGGTAGAATGTAATTAGAATCAGAAGAAGTAAATTAATAATTTGGCTCCTACTTCTGACTGAAGGCTGTGCCTGAGCAGTTTTATCCAATACCTGCTTCTGAAAAAGCAGAAGTATTACAAGAGGCAGAGTATTCAAAAGAGGATTTTGATCTGCATTTGACTGTCTGCTTATTTGTCTCTGAACTGGGACTGTAAAGTGGGAAAGAGGCATTTCAAGCTGTTGTCTACACAAGGTGTTCAGTTTGGACAGGGCTCATGACATCTCCAGTTGCTCTGAGACTCTGTGATGGTAATATGACAGAATGACATTACATCTCTGCACAGGCTGGCAGCATGATGGCACTGCATTAGATAGACATAGTAGGGGCATGGAGAGTTTTCACCCTTATTGTGAACATCATATTCCCTTTGGTCAGATGGGGCTAATGCTCAAAAATGTGCAGCAGACTGCTGAGCTCCCAGAGCTTCCTCCTGGCTCCAGCTTTGAGAAGCTGCTGCCTCCCCTGAGCTGCCTGCTCTAATCTCAGTCCCCAGGCAGCATTTATTTAGCTTGGAGTAAATGGTTTGTATTAACCTCACACAGACTTAAGTGCTGCTTACATACCACTTCCCATTTATTTATTCCTTTTTCTCATTACAGTTTTGCCCCATTTCCCTTGGGCTTTTTTTTTTTTTTTGGATCTTCGGGTCTTTCCCTCCAAGCCAGCAGTCATATAGAGAAATCCAGGCATAAATGTGAAAAGCTCACATACCCAATAAGCCATCATTTTATTTGGGATATGCCTACTGGGTCATTGTAGACCATTCCAATCCTGGAATCTATTCCCAAACAGGAAAGTACAGTCTCTCCATTTGGCAGCACAGGGCTATCATTCATTTAAATACATGCAAAAAGCCCAGTGCCAACTATCTCTCTTGTGCTTGTGACCACTCAGCCTCCCATCGTCATCCTGGGTGGTTCCCATCACTAACCCGCTAGAGCTTCCAAAATGGGGATGGTACCACCACCTCTTCTAAGTGACTAGTAAACTGCTGTATGCAGCCTAGACTGTTAGCAAAACTTCTTTATCCAAATTAGCTTGGGAATGGCTCTGTTTCTAATCCAGCTGGATTTCTCACCTCTTCTTGTTGAATATATCTGAACTTTGCATTTACAGTGTAGCTTCTGTTTGGCTGCAGGGATAATGTCATCTCTCTGCTAAAGACAAAGTAGTAATTTTCCCCAATGCCTGACACACACACAGCAGTCATCTTTTATATTTTCCCCAATAGTAATTGCTACTTTCTTTCTCTTCTGGTTTTTGGTTTGTTTTTTTTTTTTCCCAGACAAACAGTATTAGGAAGCCTCTAAATGAAACATGTAATTGCTTTCACCTGTAGTTTTGCAGAAAGCCTCTGAAGTTTTAGTTGTTGTGAAACTGTCCATCTCCTGTCACAGATCTCCCTGCCATGTTAGTTATAGGATAGTGTGACTCTGCCTGCCTACCTTTTTTTTAACTTTGTAACTAAAGACAGCATAGTATTCAGTTTATTAAGATAATTTAATGTAAATCTATGATGACAGTGGTTTTCCTTTAATATTTTCTGTCTGATGGTCTTAAATCACATTTATGCACATTAATGAATTGACTCCAATGGCTCCCAGTGGAGGAACACAAGAAAAAAGAGATTTCCTTAAGGTTATACCGGGAGTCAGTGTCAGAGTCCCTTCCAGCTGAACCTTACCTGTTGGCTTTGAGTTAAAATTTTTAGGGAGTTCACTTTGTTGTAACAAAAGATATTCAGTGTGTTAAGAACCTAACATCTCAATCAAATGTCTCAAATTTTACATTTTAATAAGCAAAGAGCAAAGAAGAGGACAGAAATAATTTTTTTTTCATATAATTTTTTTGGTGTGAGTGTAACAGACATCTGGATAGGAAGAATTTACAGTTTCGATTTATAGTTTGTGTATCCAATGAGCTGTCTCTCTTCAATATATAAAATAGAGATGCATGTGAAGTGGTATGTCACTGTCAAAGCACTCAAGTGTCATCAAGGGCAAATATCCATCCTTCTTTACCTTTCTGTTCTGTAAAAAAAAAAAAAAAAGAAAAGGAAATTCTTATCTAGGCACACTTCCTTATTCCTTCAAATTTTATCTGGACCAAAATTTGTATTATTATGGTAATTAAAATGCTCTTATTTGGTTTTTTTTTGAAGGGGAAAAAAAGGCTGTTTCTCTTGTTCCTGTCTACTCTAGGTAGCCAGGAAATAACATGTGCAGATGTGTCTCATTGTGATGTGATCACAAGTTAGTGCTGAGGTTTTATTGGGTAATGTTTTATATTTTCTCTTTTGTCCCATTTTGGGCTATAGTTTAAGTAGAGATAATGTAGCCAAACCTCTGCTTTCTGGACTAGGAGTGTAAATCTAGGGTAAACAACTTGGAAAAAAGAAAAGGAAAAGGAAAAGGAAAAGGAAAAGGAAAAGGAAAAGGAAAAGGAAAAGGAAAAGGAAAAGGAAAAGGAAAAGGAAAAGGAAAAGGAAAAGGAAAGGGAAAGGTTAGGGAAGGTTAGGGAAGGGAAAAAAAGAAAAGAAAAGAAAAGAAAAGAAAAGAAAAGAAAAGAAAAGAAAAGAAAAGAAAAGAAAAGAAAAGAAAAGAAAAGAAAAGAAAAAAAGAAAAGAAAGAAAAGAAAAGAAAGAAAAGAAAAGAAAAGAAAAAAGAAGAAAAGAAAAGAAAAGAAAAGAAAAGAAAAGAAAAGAAAAGAAAAGAAAAGAAAAGAAAAGAAAAGAAAAGAAAAGAAAAGAAAAGAAAAGAAAAGAAAAGAAAAGAAAAGAAAAGAAAAGAAAAGAAAAGAAAAGAAAAGAAAAGAAAAGAAAAGAAAAGAAAAGAAAAGAAAAGAAAAGAAAAGAAAAGAAAGCCCTACCATACAAGAGTACAAAAGTTGTTACCCCAAATATTGCTGTGACATAGTTGTTCTAAGCAGCAGTGGAAGTCTTTATTATAGAATAAACTATATTCTCTGGGATTGTTGCAAATTTATAGATTTATGGCATTATAACAGTTGAATAATTTGTCCCATTTCATGTTACACTTCCATCTACTGGGACACTTCAGCACAGCAGCATCCCCCCACACTATTATACTTTCGTATTTTCAAGTAGGGTACAGATTCAAGTTCATATATTCCTTCTACATAGAAAATAGTCTGTGGGGACTCGTCTTGAGGCTGTTATTCAGACTGAGCACCCAAAAGCTTCACCTGGCACCCATTACAGAGGAGGGTTAGGAGCAGAGCAGAGTAGCTGTTGTTGGACTTCCTGGAACAACTGGATTTGGCCAGCACACTTACATAACCTCAGCCTTGCATCTTCTAATGGCAGGCATCTTCAAGAGCTGAAATAACAGCAATAATTTCCCTTAGGGGCTTAAGCAGGTCATGAATTTCCTCCTGCAATGAGCAATAGTCAGTCTGAAGTGACAGACCCTGTCCCAGCATACTCTAATATTAACTACTTCTGAGAGGAGAGGTTGCAGTGCAGCAGCCAGGTGTTGTGGGGAATTGGTAGTGAACAATGAAAAATACTTGGAAGGGCAAGTACTCATATCTTTTTCAGCACTTGGGAAAAGGGGCTGTTGAGACAAGGAGAGCTGCTCAGCCCAGCAACATTCCCCCCAGCTCCGCTTTCTGTCTGAAAGCTTTGAGAAGTTTATGGAAGAGCATCTAGCACTGTCTAACAGGGAATTAGGCAGGGGTGCTTGCAGAAAAAGGATCAGGAGATGGGCTTTCATAATTGAAACAGAAAGATAAGGAAATATATACACAACAGAAGAGTGGCAGAAAGGGAGCTCTGAGAATAGGCTTAGGAGCCAGAGGCTCAATTTGATTTCTCACATCTTGTTCTGTGGTTAAGTCACATCACTCATCTGTCTGATTTTTCTTATCTGTGTAATGGGGGACATATTACAGATCTCTGTTTAAGTGGAGGTCTGAGAATTAATAGATGCTGATAGAGTGCTTGGAAGATGAAAAATTCTGGGTATTACCACAGCAAATAGTAACCCCTTTGACTCATTTATGGTCTTATTAACACCAAATGCCTCTTCGGCTTCCTGTCATTTTAACTAAGCCTCCTTCTGATCCTATTAAACACCAGGGGGAAGTTCCTCAGCTAGTGTCAGTTGTCACAGCCCCATTGACTTCAATTATTTCTCTTGCACAACATATTTCATCCAAAGCACTTCAAGTATTTGAGAGATATTGGCCAATTAAGCATCACAACCTCTACGGGAGGTACAGAGTCATACCACAGTTAGAGAAACTTAGAAAAGAAAGGTTAATCAACTTACCCAAGGTCAGGAAGAAAGCGTAGCAGAGATAAGAAAAATGGAGCAAGAGTTGTGCTCATAATTCTGGACATTGCCTTGACCAGGTTTTGCTCTGTTTATCGGGGTGGATCTGAAGCCACTGTTCCAAGCTCTGCCTTTTTCAGGTTCTTACTGGTATGAGACAGAGCAGGAACTTGCTTCCTTTTCACGCTCTCATACCCTTTCAGTTTCTATAATTCTCATTTTATTAGAGGCATTGTAGGAAAAGAATTATGGAGACTACATGTATAAAGGCTGATTCCTCAGCTAGTATAAATTAGAAAGATTTCCCAAAGGCAATGAGAGTACGAGCACATATACCTGAAGATCTGGTCCCAAGGGCTTATTTCTGACAGAGTAGGGCTATAAGATACCTAGGGATTTTCAGCCTCCAGTCACTTAGGCAGAGGCTTTCTGTAGCTGTGGGAAGCTAAACTGCCTACTGGTGATTGCTTTTTCAGTATATTGCAAGCCAGGACTTTATCAGCATATGTGCAAATGATTCTCAGTAAGCTGGTTTGTGCCCTTATGCCTGCTAAAAGTCCAAAATGGCTGCATCAAATGGCAGTATTTAGAATAGCTCCAAGTGGAAATACTTCAAATATCCACAGTAATTCTGCTCTTTCTGAGATGAGAATTATGGGTTTTTTTCCCAGTGCAGGGAGTGTTTGTGCAACTTCAGCATTTTATTCTGCAAATTTAGATCCTCTTTCAGAGAAACTAGTGAATGCTGTGATAGTAGAGTTTGATGTATAAATAGCCAGCAGACGAACATGAGGAGAGGCAACGAATAATTCACAGATGGAAGAGTTCGAGATCAGTTTAGACATAATGGCAGAGCAGTAGTGCAGAGCTGAGAAGCAGTGCTTAGCTTGGTCAGCACTCAAAGTGAATCCACAAGTGCAGTTCTTAATTATATTTATAGATTTAAGTCCAAAACCAACTTTTTGTTTGTTTTTTAAAAACACAAAACCAACCAAAGCCACTCGCCCTCACCCTGTGAAGTTTGCTGTTTTGATGCAGTGCTCATAGCACCCAGCTAGGAAATAATAACATGTTATTTGGTTTTTTAGTTTTTAAAAGCTACAAACAAGTTGAAGAGGAAAGCCTGTCACAGCTACGACAAATTAATTGTATTTATAAGCTTAAGATCTTAATTTCCTGAAGCAGCTTTAAATGCAGATAGTGTGCTGTCTTTGGACACTGAGTTAAGACTAGTTTATATCAATATTCCAGCTAATTCTTATTTAGGTAAAGAATAACTGAATGTGCTGTTTCCATACTTGGGAAAAAACAACCCTATCTCTATAAAGCCCGTGGAAATACTTACATTGAAGTAAATACATATAGATATGTTTGTACACACATTTAAATAAATGCTGGTCAAAACCAGATCTAAGGACTCATAGGAGCACTGGGGGAAGGGCTGAGGTGTGTGGAAAGGGAAGCAAGAGGAGGATAGGGCAGCTCAGAAACTCAGATTGATTACCTATGTAATTCTCTTTTTGCCCCTCCACACACATGTACTTCAGAACTAGAACTAGTACTTTTTTGAAAAAACACTGCCTAAAATCCTTAACTTTTTTTTTTTCTTCATCCTTATGCTAAGATTTAACATTACCTTGGGCTAGACTTTCCTGACCTTGTCACCAAACATATCTTGATATAAAAACACTTGGTCAGGACTCTTACGCTTATGAAAAGAGATGAAGCTATGAAAAGGATAAGGCTCCAACCTTCAACTCCAAGCTGGAAAAACTGCTTTTTTACTTCTGCCACATCGAAAGCATGCTCCCTAGGAAAAGGAAAGGGGAATTCACACGCTTTAGGTCAGAAGCCACATATGAGCTATGTGTTTGGTCTTCAAGAGAACTTATATCAGGCATATGCTCCCTCTTAGAAATTTCTGTCACCTGTGATCTCCCATTCCATCTTAGCTTAAATTTTTTCTATTGCCATGGGAAACAGAGGTCTTGACTGGGAGGAGAAGGGAAACCAGCATAAGAGAAATCTGGAAGTTGTCCTATATGCTTGAAACAATGTCTTGGAAAATGTTGCCTGACTATTTGGAGGTGCTAACTGCTTAAGAAGGTAACGGTGTACCATGGAATGAGACAAGTCCCTGTCCTCCAAAAAGTGAGCGCAGAGTGGCTTCAAATGTTCCCCATCCCCAGCAAATGTGTAAAAGTGCCAGCATCTCTCTTAAGGGGAATAGAGCTAAGAGCAAATACACATTAGAAAGTGCCAAAATATTTTATTGTTAGGTGCAAAACCTGTTTCTATTGACAAGTGTGACAGTCTTTGCTGGTCTCAGATAACAGGACCCTAGGGACTTCCCGTTCACTGGAAGAATAAAAAAACAAGAGAAAACATTTATGTACAAGCTAATACTTTTTGCTAGAGCTTGCACAATTTAGCTCAGACCGGCTACAGAACACTGAAAGACCAACTTTACTTTTACATGGTATTTTAGAAGTCTAAAAGCACTCCTTTTGCAACAATGTCTCAAAGACTTAGAACCACTTGGTCAGTCTGAATCCGTAGGAATATATTAAATGTATTTGTATTGTGTGAGTAGATGGGGTCCTACTATCACAAGCCTGGTCGGGTTCTGAGAACACAAAAATAAGACATTTTGGACTGATTAAAGCCAGTGCAACATCACTTCCTCAGCTTCCCCTTGTACAGTCAATGCCTCAGAGTTAAGTCCTGTACTTATTCATGGAAATTCTCATATGAGACCTGACAATCTTCCCATCCTTGAGACAATGAGAGTCAAAATCTTTCTAGTATTCCAGTTGTGGGCTTGTGCAGAGGTATCTCCCTAGGGGGATCCAGGATTGCTTCCAAGAAATACCATTCCTCCCCTTCTACATTTTGGGAAAGAGAGAGACATCAAGACTTGGGTGGCTTGCAGTGGGCTGCTGCCAGTTGAAGGGGACCACTGTCTTGAAGTTACTGGCCTCCAATACCTCTCTGTAAAAATTGTAAGGATGCGCCCCTAAAAGAATTTCTGTATGATCATAGGCTCTGTAGTAATTCAGGGGTTTTTTTCCTGGCAACGTCCTGCTAGAAAGGCTATAGCTAAGGAAAGAACACTTTTCTTCTCCTAAAACAGTTATTTTAATCCTCAGTACCGTTACAGTGTTTTTACAAGTATCTATCTACCTATGCTTTAGGGTGTCTGTCTAGGTCCTTGCATAGAGAGCTTTCAAGAGATTGCTGCTCTGGTTGGTCTCTCCAAAACCATGGTCTCTTTCATATCCCCATGCCCAGAAGAGGGTATTTAGGACTTCTGCTGATCATGGGTTGTTCCCTGGTGGATAGGAGTATCCTGTCCATCTTGTTCCTTTTTCAAGTGCTGTTATCAATGTCATACTTGATTAGGTATCAAAGCTTTTGAAAATACACACTGTATGTAGAAACAAGAGGATGCGATGTGAGGATTTGTGAGTCATGCTGCATAACCTGGTGGGGTATACAGAAGAGGCAAGCATTCTCTCCAAGGGTCATTCTCAGAGGAAATCTCTGGATCTCTCTGTTCAGGTAATATTTTTTTGGTCAGGGAGAAGAAATGCTATAGGAACTCTGTCACCTGGCTAGTTCAGTGTTACTTCTGACATTTATGTAATATACAAATATGGTTCTCACTATCACATTTTCCAGCTCTAAAGAAATGTTAAAATGCGTAAAAGCCATGATGTTATCATCCTTTTTGATTATAGCATTAAACAGTGTATTAAACCATTCCCTTTGGTGTACAATTCATACCTCTTAGCCTGAAGGTGCATTTCTTATTAAAATGTCTCAGATCCACATATTGTGAAATAATATCCAATGAATTCTCCCTCTTTATTTATGTATTTAAAAGAAGTTGTTAAGGGATTAGGGGAAACAGATGAATTTACTGTCTGTAATAATGTAAGATCATAACAGGTACAGTGCTTATTATAAGAGTTATTTTCTAAGAGTTTTTTAGGCATTTCATTCAGATTGGTTTTGAAATGAACACTTTTCCAGATGGACTAAAAACTGTCTGAATGTCCCCAGGACAGCATGTTGAGTTGCACATAAGGGGTCAGTAGAGTTGGAGGATGATTTAGAAAAGATTGGGCTGCAAGATTTTTTTTTTTTTGCTTCCAGTTAAAATAGCCAAGGTTTACAGAACTAGTAGTTTTGATTACCTCAGTTTAAATGACTTGAAACAGTTTTAACACTGATTGCAGAGGGTGCTAGTCACTCTTTTCCTGAAACTCAGCTGCCTGTAAGCGTTCTCAGTTTAACACCCAAATATTGAGGTACCTAACACCAAACTACAGTAACAAATCAGTCTGGCTGAACAGCTGCAGTGCTAATGTGGAAAGGGGTTAAATAATAGTCATCAGTTCTACTGTCAAACTGGAAGAAACTGCAATCCCCAGGGGGAAAAATCTCAGACAATGAAAAATGTTCTGTGTTGGTGGATTTGCCTGAAGAGTTACTTGCAGAGCTTATATTAACAAGCTTATATCTTGCGCCAGTAGCCAATTAGCTGTACTGGGAGAGATCACCTTTCTTCTCGGTATAATTTTATCTGTAACTAAGAGATTTTCCTCAGAAAACCTACCTTGTCTACCTTTGCAGAGGTAGGCAAGGGGTGAATAATTCACCCAGCCAGAGCCATACAGGGTTAACTACTTGTGTGAGCACTTCCATGATCAGGTTCCAGCAGTGCCCAAACAGCTGAACTGCCTGCTCAGGGCATCATTGTGGATTTGTTCCCTGAGTATTTTTGCCCTGAATGATCTGGCCCTTACCAGGCATGTTTGCAGTATGGCAAATGGCTCATTTTTTTTCTTCTTTTTTTTTTTTTTTTGCCATTATATTTCCTTCTTTTAAAAATCACTTCTTTTTATTTAATTTAAAAGTTTAACAAAATAGGATTTTGGCCTGTAAAAGTCTAGACTTCTAGGATGTAGCTGGCAGTCTCCTCGTCCCATTATCTGTTCTCTCTTTTTTTCTTTCGCTTGCTGTTCTTTTTCGGCACTGAAAATGTAATCAAAGTCACTGAGGCCCCAGTAGACCTCTACTTGTTGATTAAAATTGAATAAACTAGACAAATTCTGGTGGGAATTGAAGGCATTTATGATGACTACCTGGCATTTTTCTCTGCCCTTTTTTATGTACTTGTCACTGTATTTTCCCACATCAATCTCATAAAACATTCTTTTGCTCATGCTTGAAATACTGATATTATCCTACAGCAAAGATAAAAGCACATCACAGAGCAATATGGCTTGGTGATAGAATTATCTGCAATACACAGAAATCTCTACTGATGTTTAGGGCTGGCATGGTATTAAACACATTACTTTTGCTGACAGGCATTTTCATTTCCTTGCATCATGCAGGTAGGGGAATTTGAAGGAAATCTAGTTTTCTCTTCTAGATTTGTTCAATAAAAAATGTAAAACAGAAATGCCAGTGGATATGGTAGCATCTCTTTAAATCAAAAGGAACTCACCGAAAGTCTAAGTTTCAGAGAAGGCTATGTGGTTTTATGTGTTTATTATATGTTTGTGTGGCTGTATTTACAAATCTATCTATCTAAATATTTAAATAAACAAAAGAAATATTTATATTTATATAAATGACTGTATAACCACAATATGTATATAAACAAATAGCTGTTCCCTATATAACAAATCTGAAAGAACTGGGGGCAGTCCAAAATCAAGCAATTAAAAATTAGTGTCAGTGAATCTTGTGCTTGTTTGGTCTTTATGATGTGATTTTTTGTAACATCTTTACTCATTATTTCTCCTGTATGACTTTCTCCCCATGCCGTGCACACACACAAAAAAAAGAGCTTCTGGAATAAGTTTGGGATCTGCTCTCAAATTGATAGCCTTGTACACAGGATGCCCACTTCAATTTTTTTGAAGTGGGTTGTGTAGTGAATGAGGTGAGGGATTCTTACAAGGGAGGGACACCTCTTCAGCAAAGCATTTTCTTCCTACCCCTCTTTCTTCCCAGGGTCACACTATGGTGGTTACTAAGTTACTAAGATCATTTTTCCCTCAGGTCACCTCTGAATTATGTGTTCCTTGTGTTCCAGTTCCTATAGCTTTGATGGAAACAATATTGAGCCCTGAAAACAGGAATTAAGTCAGCACTTCAAAAGTGTAAGGTGCTATAAGGTGCTAAGTGCTCTGTGTAATCAGAACTTGCAATCTGAATTTGCACATTCAGTACTAGTGGACATTTTGACTTAATTTTCCTATTCCTGAACTCAACATTTGTAAAACACCTGAGAAAGGTGTTGTCCAAAATAATTAGTTTTTGCAAAACAGTTCAGTGCTATGCTGAGTGGCACCACAGAAATGCCCCTGTGGAAATAAATTACTCTTCAGAGCAGGATTAGTATAGAATGCAGAAGTGGCCACCAATGAAGCAATGAAGATAAAACACAGGATCAAGTAACAGCATCTTCAACGGTATTATTCTTTCTGTGCACTGAGTGCATGAAAATTCACATCAAAAAAGAGTAGTGTGGGATCGTGTAATTAGAGGACGTGTAGAAACATACACACATGAAACTCAGGGACTGCTTTTGTGCTCTATTTGTGCAGGAATTTATGTCTAGAAATCAACAATATTAAAAATTAAAATGGTTTTCTTTGGTATGATGGGAGAGAATCTGATCAAGTGGCTGGGGCAGACATGACCCCCACCCCTGTCGAAGGTCTATTTTGTCACTGCCTTGGTCTGTGAAGTTGGAGGTAATGAATGCTTCTTTTCTATGTACTCTCTGGCAGTAAATTCCTTTGGAATAGTTTGATACTATACATTGCCCAAATACAAAATATTCCTTTGTCGTGCACGATATTTGTGTAGTTGTGGATTTTGGAACAGGATTTTTGTGTGTTTTCAGCGTTATGCATTCACTGTAGAATAAAACTGAGTGTTCTGCTGCTGTACTGAATAGGCCCAGAGCTGATCAGAGCATGCTGAGGATTTTGTTCACCTCTTGCTTTAGGGAGAATGGGTCTTCTGCAGTCTAGAAAGCAGTAGCTTTGGAGCACGAGAATGAAGTCTCTTCTCCTGCTACACAGCTGAGTATTCTGCATGAATCTGGCATAAATTATTAACAAGCAAACCCTAAGTTTTCTGTAACTGATGAGGGATTTACAAAACTTCTGAAAACTGAGCGGAATATAACCAAATATTTATTTATGCCAGTGTTTGTGTCTGCAATGGTATTTGTTAATAGGCCGAATAAGCAAGCATACAGAAAATGAGATATCACTGATATCACATAATCAGGCAGTTTCCCCAAGAAAAGTATAATTTTACCTGAATATCTGGCACAACTGACACAAAAAAATTGTGCTGATCCCTAACCTTTGCTAGCAGTAGGCCTTCTTATTGCTAGTAGGCTTACTGTATGTGACTTAGTGTAAATACCCCTTGCTCGAGGACATAGTGGAGATGAATTGTATGTGGGCTGCTGGGTTCACACTGGCCAGGGGCTCTTATAGCTCGTTTTGCAAGGGAACTGCTGAGGTTAGACTACAGAGGTTTTTTTGTAATTTAGTCTTACCTGCCGGATATGACCTCAACTTTTTTCTCAGGTCTAAGGATTGACAGAAAAAAATCCCAACATTTTCCACTCATCAAAAGGTCAAAAATATGTGATCTGGTTAATTCCTAGAAGGTAAGAAAATACATGTAATTTTATAGAGCTCCTTTTAGAGCAGAAATACCAAAAGAAGGCCTCTTGTCACCATTTTTGGCTAGACTGGAACATCCTGTCTTTTGAGTTCTGTGGGAGAAACAGTTACTTTTCTCAAGAAGCACTGAACCAATGTAAAAACTTTTAATCCTGTCCAAAAAGAACAAGCCAGGTTATCTCCAGCCATCCCCTTGAACGTGCCAGCCATTATGCCAACATATGAATATATGAATATCTACATAGAAACACACCCCATAAGTGAAGGTTGATCCTTTGCAGTGGAGTTACATTACCTTTTATGTTACTGCTTGGTCTCGGTAATGTTCAGGTCAGTGCTACTGAGTGTGTTTCTTTGTGTGGCAATTTACGTTGTGTGCAGGGCTCCGGGGCACAGCATGGGGGATCATAGGGCTGTAAGTTCTGCAAAGCCTCTGTGTACATCCATCATTTTCAAGGCAGCAGGGAAGCTCATTCTTTTTGCCAGGTTTTAGCTGTGGAGCTTGGATGTGCCTCCCCCTCGGAGCTCCTGTCGAACTGCCACACAGGGAATATTCCGCATTCAGTGCATCCATTCTGCAGCTGCCTGGCAGAGCACCAAGCTTGCAGGAGGGCACAAGAGAAAGCATAACCCTGTTTAAAACTATTCAGGCTCATCAGCAGACTGTGGTATTGCAGAAGAGGAGAGGTGACATAGTTTCATAGTTTGTCCTTATGCAAATAAGGTGCCAGCAGCAAGAGTGAAAGGAACTATTTCCTAAAATGGAGAAATACTGCAAGCAGCAAGGTAAAGCAATCGGGTTATGCATGTACTACTCTTGTTCCTTGTCCCATTGCAGTTCATAAAACAGGGAGACAAGGAAGAAAAAAACAAAAGGGAAAGAGGCAGGAGAGGGGAGACCAAGGAAGTAAGTCAGATTCCCAGGAAGATGATTAACTTTAGGAAAGCTAAGGCAATGCAAGGGAAAGCACTGTTACCTACCCAGGTTTTACCTAGACGAGAAGGCTAATAACTAGCAGTGGGGCCAAAAAACAACTCTACTTAAGCTTTTCATTTTCTCACTCCAAAGGCAAATAAATGCATATTTAAATGATCACAGCAGTTAAAAACTGCTCCAGTGAAGTAACGTTCTGTTACATCTGCCTAGCAAACACCTGGGTTTGCTTCTGCAGAACAAGAGATTTTTAAATGTTCACTGATCAAGAATTCTGGTTGTTTTTTAAATGTGAAATGCTTTTTTATTGCTAGTGCATAGTTTAATTTGAGGCCACTTGTGGTTGATGTATGTCTAAAAATCTGATCTCCTGCAGGCACGTGATGTCATTATATCTGCTCATTTAATTTTTCTGAAAAGAAATTTTCTATCTACTAGAGATTAAAGCAGCCCTGCACCCCCCACTTTTCCTCTCTCCTTACCCAAGTCCAAAAGAAAAAGGCAAATAAAAGAAACACTACTATATTAAAAAAAAAATAAAAAATCACTCTTGTTGCATGTGAGGGGCCAGCTCTGAGATTTAGACTTCAGAGGATGTTAGTTTTACTAGTCTGAGCTTCTGGATTCTTCCTGGAATGGAAAGACCCACATTTCTGCTTGGGAAAAGGCAACACTGTGGCAGATGGTGAAAAAGGAGAATTACTTTTGTGAGACTTCATTTTTTCCTGTATAGAAGGTCTCTCTTGAGGTGAGTGTTGGAAGGAGGCTGAGAATGGGTCAGGTTGCAGTGGAATCACATGCACAGGTAGCTTGCCGAAGGTTCCTTTGCAGCGTGTTCAAGGTTCCCCTCCTGTGATGTCAGGTCTCTTAAATTCGATATCTGACTCTGCTCTTATGGGTTGAGTTATAGAAGTCCTGTAGATTATATGCATTTCCTGTATTCTTGTAGATTATACAATGACGTGAAGAGTAAGTTTTTTGATTAAATGCCATCGCATTTTGGGACCACACATCTCACTTGACAGTGGTGCAGGACAATGTAATGCATTAATTCAGTTCTGCTCCTACTGGTGCATAGTAACAACATCTTGCAGCATGTTTTGTTGAACAGGCTACATGATGTGATAATTTCTTTGAGCCCTATACTTGGCTGCAGAACAAAATGGGATGCTTCTCCTGACATCTTTCTGGTAAGACCAGAAATGCAATCTATAGTCCAGGCTTTTTAAGTGAGAACACCAAGGAATGAGCCAGACTGAGGAGATAGGAGTGACCTTTGGGATGATGAAATGACCATGGTTGGTTGTGCTAAAAGGGAAGTAGCTAAGGCCACTAAGCACAGTTGGAATATGCAGTTATTCCTAATTCTTCACTTTGTAGACAAGCCAGTGCTGTCTGCCCTCATCTGTTACCACACAGGTCCCACAATGACTGACCATATAACCCATCTTTCTCAGCATGCCGTTTCTACCAGAGTCATATCTACATGAGCACCAGCGTGGAAGCTTGAGCTGTTACCACTCACCCCTTTTAAATGAAGTTGTTGTAGTGGCCCTGTTTGTGGCAGGTCTAATGTTTTGCCTCGGCACTGCCTTTTCCATGGTGATGCTGCAGTTGCTGGGGTCAGAGCTCTTGAGGAATAGTCAGTCTTTAGGTTCATGGTAATAGAAAAGCAATGAATATGCTTCAAATGCATTTAAAAAAAAAAAAAGTGAGGGAGCATTTATGTTCTGTCACAGAAGGCCCCTTAGGTCTGCTAATGCCCTAGTTAGAAGAGTTTTCATCCTTGCATTTACCCAAGTATTTACCTTTCTTCCTGGCTTCCATGGGCAAAGCCGTACCATGCACTATGGTGTGTGATGCTCCAGGAGAACACTAGGAGCTCTGCTGTGGGTCCTTACATTTGGCTGACCCTGGAAATGGTGAAAGGCAGTGGTCTGCCTTTTTTAAAAAAACATAAACAAAACCAAAACCAAAAAACAAACCCCAAAACCCTGACACCAAACCAGAAAAAGAAAAAAGAGCAATCTATTTTAGATATGGGAGAGAAAAACATTTGGAAAGCTTTTCACTTAACAAGGGTCTTCTGTGACATTTAGAAGCATTTATACAAGTTAAAAAGGAATTTGGCACCTTCCCACCTCACTCATCAGGGTTAGAAGACAGAAAGCAACTAAAAAGACAAGATTACTTGATATGTTGCTTTGTTTTGTTCACATAAAGTGTTGTGCCGTGGATGCTGGCTGAGTACTATTACAGGCCACAAAGAGCCTTGACAGAGGAGTCATATTCAGTCACATCCAGGGCTTGCTTTCTAATGAGGAAAGATAATTATCGTGCCAATCTCTGATCGCCTTTTACAAGGCACATTTAATCTGAGGGAAGATAGGAGCATCTTTTGTCTCGTACAGACTTGAGAGCAAGGCCAGCAGGTGTAACAGAGTAATCACTCTGAAGGATTTGTTCATTATTTCCCAGAAAGAGGGAAAAAGTCTTCATGTCACTGTCTCTTCTGTTTTCCCTGCTCTTGAGTTCAACTTGTGCAGTTTGATCGTGGTGGCCCCACTTCTTCAAGCACCTTATATCCTATCAAAAGCTCACTTGACAAGCATTTATTACTGGTTAGACAGCCAAGTAGTCTCCCTCCATTCCCTGCCCCTTTCTCTTTAGAAGAGAAAATTTGCACTGCATTTTGATGGGAACCTGATGATGTGCCGTATGCTCTGAGACATCCTTGGCTGTAGAGCAGTATGCTGTATGCTTGCATACATTTTTGTACATTATAAATGACCTCCACAAATGTGCATACTACTGGGTTCATATGCATGAGTGTGTGTGTGTCTTTTCTTTGAAACACTCAGATGCCCATTCCAGGGGAGTATAGAGATGAGCATATGCTCTGGGAGATGTTGACTTTTACATACTTGAGTGCACGCATGTCTACAAATGTATGGCTTCTGATTATATGGGAACTCCAAGACTACAGGGCCAGCTGTAACTTTGAGAATTGTCTTGAGAATTTTTTTGTGTCATTTTCTTACTAGTAACAAATTAATGGAATTCCTGGTTTTTCACACTTCATAACATGGATTATCTCACTGATCCTGTTTGCCAGGTGGTCTCACATTCACACCAGAGGGCTTGCCACTGGGTTAAGTGGCTCTGGGTAGCACTCTATAAATGCCTCGGGGAAAAAGGCAAAAAGAACTAGGTGGTGAAATAGAGCAGTTTTAGGGAATTGCATCTTTTAGGACAAGGTATTTGGAATCTCAAGCAACTTGGTCAGATATAGAAGCTTGAAAACAGCTCCAGCTAGTGCATGAAGTGTAATTTCAATAAGATTTAATTTATTTTATCATCTTTTACATTACAGTCAGTTCTTTTATAACATTTCAATGGAGGTTTTTTCCAACATGACATAGGTTTCTGCAGTGGAGGTGCACACTGAATGTGAAGACGACCGGTGGGACAGTTGTGCTTTAGATGCTGGGGAAGTGAGTTATGAATGTTACCTGGATGTTACCTGGATTACTTCAAGATCAGTAATGGAAAAGTTGGTAGGATTCACTTGCTGGCTTAGCTATGAGTATTGCCAACTCATTGCAGGAAATGGAAGGGTACAAACCTCACAAGCCTTCAGTTTTACGATACCTGCAGTTTTATAACTGCATTGGTTTATATGTGGTTCAGGATCTTATCCTTGTATAATACTAGGTCAAGACCAGTATATCTTGATCCCATAGTCCACTGAATAGCAATTTTTCTTGGATTGTAGCAAGGTCCAGCAATGTGGAAGAGAAACACTGACCTCTTTAGATTCATTCACAGTATCCCTGGCAATACACATTTCTCTAAACACAGGCTGAGAGACTAAAATCACACTATTGGCTCTGAGGGGAGAAAACTGTGAGTAAATCTTATTGATCCATATCCCCGTGTCCAGCTGCTGAAACAACTGTTGAAACAGGTGTGTCTAATTTTAGCTTTTGAAACAGTTGGGCAAAGTGTTGGCCGTGTTTCAGTAACTTTTGCTTAAAGAGAAGGCAGGTGGCATTCTCTGAACATGCTGCTATTGAATTAGAGAGACCTATTAATATCAGTGAGTCAACTTAACTTAATTCTCTCAACCTGCTAACGAGCATTTTGGAAAGGATTGGAGAAGAATGACAGGGTACTTTGAATAAACCAAAAGGGAAAGAGATTGCAGTGTGTGTGTTCTAGCAACAGCAATTTAATCAGTTTAGATGCATCTGTGCTACCTGTCACTTTGCTGGCTGTTTGTATTTCTTTTGTCTGGGTGACCTGAGGCATGTATGTCCTAGATGTATTTTTTGAATGAAGGCATACTCCACTGAAGTAAAGATTACACGTGAACATGAATAGACTGGCATGTGTGTGAGAGAGAATGTTAAAAAAGTCAACAACCTGCTCTGAGTGATTTGTGGTTTTTGTTGCAAAATCAATTATTCAAAATTGAGGTGTGCTGGAAAACCATGTAACATCTTCCCCTTTCTGCATTCAGTCTTTTAATTACAGGATCAGGATCATGTTATTGTAGACTCCCTATTTGTTAGTGAGACAGAAACAATCATCAAGTGAAACAGATTTGTATAATTAGAAAATTCTGTAGTTTGGGAATCCCCTCTTTTAATTGAAATAAAAGTTAAGGTGTCTATTGAATAATGAAGAGGAAAGCAGGGGATTAGTAATTAAAGAACTCAAATGCCTCGAGTTGTGTTCCTAGCTTTGCAGCAGGGTTCTAGAGTGATACATTTTTCATAAAAACAGTATGTTATAGAAGTGAGTGCAGAAATAATTGATTGTTATCAGTGTATACTTTTATATTGATTTCTTTGTGTACCCGAGAACAATGGCTTTGAAAGCTGGTCACTATGTGTAGTAGACTGTGAATGCCTCTCAGAAAAAAAAACTTGTTGGAAAGAAGAAGAGGGGGTAGAGAGAAGATATTTTAAAAATGAGGCGTTTTGTCATGTTCTTTAGCAGCATCTGATTGTGCTAAGGAGGGTATAAGTAGTATCTAGCTCCTCCAGATGTCAGCTATTTAGAGAGACACACACCAGAAGTTCTGTGGACAACAAATGATTGAATCCCACACAGGATGCTCTTCTTGGCAAGAGAAGAAATGGGAGTGAGTGGGTGAGCCTGTGTGTGCTACTGTGGAGGATGGGATGGACAATTACAAAAATGGGAGATAAGGAGATAAATGAATATGGATGAAGGTAAAAATACCTGCTAAATGCCACTGTCCTACTTGGATGATGTGGAATTGTTGCCTGGTTGTCTCAGTGCTTTGTCTAGTCTGATTTTAACCCTATAAACTATTTTACCATGACTTAGATAACCTAAGCTATTAAAAACTCTGTACAAACATCTGGATATGTATTATTTTTTGTCTGTAACTAGCAACCTAAGAAAACCCAATAATGAGAGTGATTTGTTGCAATACAGCTTGCTGGGGGAAAAAACCCAAACCAAACCAAAATTATTAGATCATCCTCTGTTGAAAGCAGAAGCCTTTCGTAGTTTTATTTCTTTAGGTAAAAATTTTGTTAATAAGTTCTTTAAAGCTCAGTAGTATTTCTGGGGATGGGTAAAAGAGTTTCATAGAACCCACAAATAACGAGATGGCTTTGGGGCTTCCCTCAGAGGCTACCCATTTCCTCAGCAGAAGCTGGAAACACGCTGTCATACTAGTTTTGAAATTTACGTTTGTGTAATATCTTCCTCCTACCTCAAACTGCGTTAGATAATTTATTTCTCTCTCTCATGCGATTTCTATTCACTGGTTGGCTGTGAC